GAGAGAGAGAGAGAGAGAGAGAGAGAATGGAAATGTTTTCTATTTATAGAGAACGAATGTTTTTATTGAATGTTTAGCTATCCAAGTTTGAAATTTATTGTGACCGTTCATGAGTTTTTTTCGCTTTTTTTTTTTAGCGAACGCATTGCCAGGCTCACTGTCGGACTATTTTTCTCATATAATTTATATAATACAGACTTCAACATAAGTTAAGGACCACCTTGACAGACAGCCCTGATTTTTTTAAAATCCGAAAAAAAAGACAGCAAGGTCTGTTTCATAATGTGTTGCTCTGAGAGTGGTAATGGGTTACCAAAGCGTACTGCAAAGTTTCCTAAAGGAGCAAAACCACCACGTGCAGCACGGACATCCTTCTGGAATTTTAGCAAAATTTGCTGTTTTTTATTAACTTGTGTTCGACACCGCGAACATTCTTCAGTTCATATTTCTGGTGCACGTCATAAACTGACGCACGGTCTCGTACTCTGCTCACTTTGGTGGCAATATAAGCCGCTGTTTGCGCAAAATTCAGTATCGCATCAACATACCACCAAGACAAAAGCTGAGAAACTTTGATGGTGCCAGAGCTATAGCATGGCTGGGCTGCAGGATGGAGTTGGAACCCGAGAAGTTGCCAGAAGACTTGCAGTGTCACACTCTATCATTGTCCGCTTGAGACAGCGCCATCAAGCAACGGGATCAATCCAAGAAAGGCAAGGTGCAGGTCGACCCAAGAAGACCACTCATAGTGTTTGTGAGTGGTCCTTAATTTATGCTGAAGTCTGTATATACGAGTACATATATATATATATATATATATATATATATATATATATATATGCATAATACTATGTTTAACGTACAGACATGTCCATTAATTTTTTAAGGTGAGAAATTTTTATTAACGTAGTGCGCATTGAGTATTTCTTAGAAATTATATGATAAAGGAAGAAAAAGTAACGTATAGCAAGGTAAAAGAAAAAATAAGATAGAGGAAGGTAATGTAAAGTAAGGTAAAGTAAGGTAAAGTAAGGTAAAGTAAGGTAAAGTAAGGTAAAGTAAGGTAAAGTAAGGTAAAGCAAGGTAAAGAAGGGTAAGTAAATAAAAAGGAATAGCTTCAATATCTACTTTGTACAAACATTTGTCTCTTAAAGAATATTGTCGAAAGGACATATTTCAGTATCGATGACACTAGAGTTGTACTTGGTTAGTAAACTTCACTGAGGTAAAACAAAGAAAGCTGTTTTTGTGGGAATAAACTAATCAACACTTACCCAAAAGTGCCAAAAGAGCTGAAAAGGAAAGGAAAAAAAATACCTTTAAATTTTCTTGAACTCTCTGGCATTGAACTCTCTGGCATATAAAGAAAATACGAAAAGACAAATTAACAAAACGGAGAGAGAGACACTCAGAGAGAGGGAGAGAGAGAGAGAGAGAGAGAGAGAGAGAGAGAGAGAGAGAGAGAGAGAGAGAGAGAGAGAGAGAGAGAGAGAGAGAGCGAGAGCGACAGAGAGAAAGAAAAAAAAGAGAGAAAGAAATAGAGGAGAACAAAAGGACACGGGGAGATATTGTATAATATACATGTATCATTATCCTTATCTTCATCATCATCTCTTCTACTACTAGTACTACCAATTATTACTGCTGTTGCAGCTGCTACTACTACTACTACTACTACTACTGCTACTGCTACAGCTACTACTACTACTACTACTACTACTACTACTACTGCTACTGCTACAGCTACTACTGCTACTACAACTACTACTACTACTACTACTACTACTACTACTACTACTACTACTACTACTACTGCTGCTACTACTACTACTACTACTACTTTATTCTGATTTTTTTCGATGATTTTTCCTCGTTTTTTCTCTCTGCTTGAACAGTGCTGGCCTACTCAATTCGTAGTTTGGGGTAGACCCACTTACCAAGACTGAATGTCGTGGATTCCATCTCGAAATGTTGACTTCTTGGAATCTCCGTAAAAACGAACAATCTGCAAAACATCCAAGCAAACACCGAAAATAATTTGGAAAGGAGAAATTCGTTCCGAACTAAAGAACATTGAATTTACGGAATGTAAAGAGCGTGGTGAGGAATTGACAATACAAACAGTGCTTTTTTTAGCGCAACTTGAGAAGAAAGCAAAAAACAAACAAACAGCAAACAAAAAACCCCACAAAAAAACAACAACAACCCAACAACACCCCCCCCCCCAAAAAAAAAAAGGAAATAACCCAACCCGAAACAAAAAAACAACAACTCCGCAGTCAGTCGAGAAAAACTAACAAAACTAAACATATTTTGGCGAAAACTGAATGACAAATGTAACATTGCATACATAGAATAGTGGAAATCAGAACACAGTCTAGCAAAAATGAACATTTCGGTACAAGAGTTTTGTTCAAAAATTTTTTGTCAATCAATTTTCTGCAAACTCTTTACTGTCAAAGACTTTTCTGTCAAATCCCTCATGTGATATATTATGATATGCTAAAGCTACCAGTTTTCCTCCTTTCGAAACGTCCCATCA